AAGATGAAATCTAGTTGCTATGCTAAAACCTTCTGCATTTTTGCACAGTAATTTTGTAATCTATAAATTCTGTTGGACAAATCTGTTCTTTGTATGAGTATTGTTACAGACCAACTTCAAGTGATATTGTGGTAGGTATTTCAACATGTTCATTTTTCTATTACTGGAAAAAATCAAAATTAATACTTTTTTCCTTTCTTGAAATTATTTTTTTTTTACTGTCAGTAATGCTGACTCACACTCAGAACATGCTATGTGATTTAAATTTGATAATATTTTCTTTTTGGTCTCTCTACCTACACAGCCTAATATAAGCCTAATGATTAGGCACACAAGCTCTCATCAAGTCCAGGCTCTTCCACATACTCTGTGACCTTAGAAAGATTACAGAATCTTTTTGCTGATTTCCCCATTAGTAAATGATTATAGGAGAACTGTGAGACATAATGCATGAGAAAAATTAATATATACTGGTGGGTGGTATTCATGGTAGAATTTAGAAATGTTTGTATGGCTTTTCTTCAAAGTAATCTTTATAGGCAGTAAAAACTTCAGAAAGTTCTCATTTGTTTCAGATACAGTATTTTAAGCACTTTAGGAACTATTTATTGGTGTTTACCTATATTTGAAAGTACTTCAATAAAAAGATATAAATTATTTGGTTCTAAAACATATACTGTATCTCTGGATGATTTTATTTTTATTCATCCATCTATCTATTATACTTCCTTCTTCACCTCCCTCCCTTTATCCACCCAACAAATGTTTAATGAGTGCCTTCTGTACCCTGCACTGGTGAAATAAAAGTGAACAAGATCATCATCACCATTTGCTGCTATCTTGTTCTCTGGGAGGACCAGAGAAAGACTGAGAGGTAATTACAATACTGAGGGTTAAGTACTGTGACATGACTATGCCTGGGGTATTATAAGAAAAAGCGTAGAACATGAGTCTCAGTGCCTTCAGGATCAGTGAAGGAATTCTATTTTTCTGGTATTGACAAAAGTAATTAAAAGGCATTTTTTTTAGTTAACTTTAGCCAAAAATATACTTTCGATAAATACATTTATAGCCTTAGAGAAAACTCTTAGGGCAAACCTGGCTTTCAAACCTGGAAGACAGAAACTTCTTTTCTAATCTCATGGCTATTTTACTTTAGGGAATGAAACACACTGGTTATGGCTATTTGCTGCATCTCAGTCCTGTTTGGAAAAAGGTGTTGGTGTATTTTATATAACTTAGTTGAATAAATCCCAATACTTACCTCTGTAATTTACTGCGTGTGAAGCTATCCTATTCCCTGGATCACAAAAGAAATGCACTAGGGAAAAATTTTTATCTCATTTTTATGTGTAAGAAATAAATCATTCTTTCAGCACAAAACACATAAAAAGCTATAAAATTTAGTCCAAGCATTTACAATTATTTTTAAGTCTGATAAGCCCTAGGTTACTTTATAGTATGGCTATAGGGATTCTTTTTCTTTTTTTTTTTTTGTAACTCTTTTGTTTTTGTCTTGTAAATCAAGTCATCACTTACATAGAATATAGTTTTGAATTTCAAATGCTATGTATTTTTACAAAGTTAGTTTGCTTGAAAATGCAAAATGTTAAGACACCTGTGCTCTAATTTTTTTTTATTCAACATCCCTAGAAACAAAAATGTTATTTCATCTTATTTTTGGGAATTTACAGGATACAATGCCCAATTGAAAATAAAGAAAAACAAATAGATAAAGCCATTGTAAAGCTGCTGAAAATCTTGCTCCTGGAACACTCAGCCTTGATATCAATTTAGTACTGATGTGGACATTGTCATGGGCACAAACATACTCCATCTGTATGAGTTAATGATGATAAGGCTTGCCACGTTTTACACACACACACACACACAACCCTTTTCAGAAATATTCTTGGACCACTCTAATTAGGAAACTAACCAACACATGAACTAGAAACCATAAGATCAAATATGCTTTGGGAATATAGTCATTGAAGCACACAAAACATGGCAAGTTGGTTAGAAGTAATTGTTTTGCACAGGACAATTAAAATCCCTTCAATATTTTTGAAGGCCACCAATAAAGCCTCCTAAGAAAAGCCTTTTCCAAATCTTCCATGACTATGATTCAGTCTTGAAACAAAAAGTGAAAGCAGAAGGCAAAGTGCTCCATCTAGAGTACAAAGGAATCAAGTTTAAAAAAAATTGGGAGGGATCCTTAAGAAACGGCCCTCTGAATACAGGCTACAACTTGAAACTCCACTTTCATTGCTTGCAACCAACATTTCTTCTTGTTTTGTTTCTCAGATTCATGAAGCCAATCATAACAGTTAGATAATCCAGCCAGTGCCCCATGAATCAAGACACTACACAAGTTACCTGAAAATACTGAATTAGTGACAGGAACATCCTTTTGTTAATTATGGGTTAGCATGGCCTTTTTTGAAGATCACTCATATTCATGGGTTTAAAAAATTTTTTAGTTCTGTTTCTTTCATGTACTTTTTGAAGTTGTTTTATATTTAAAGATGTTCTTTTTTTTTTAATTTTTATTTAAGGAATACAAACTTCATGCATTTCATATGCAAATTTAGGAAAATAGTGATTCTTTTCAACTTAGCTTCGCTCTGGCTCACACTCCCACCCTTCTTCCTCCTCTCTCTCCTATTACCATTCTTATTTTTTATAAAGATCTATTTTCAATTAACCTTATACTCATGAAATTAACTTTCCACTAAGTAAAGCATTCAACAAATAGTATGAAGACAACAAACAAAAAGCAAACACACAACAAAAACCCACTGTTCATCAACAGTCAAGACAAAGGCTATTAAAAATCATTGCCTTTCAAAGTGTCAGTTGCACTCATACAGATTACCTTTTAGGTATTCTATTAGTTACCATTGATCAGAGAGGACATACAGTATTTGTCTTTTTGGGACTTGCTTATTTCACTAAGTGTAATGGTTTCCAGTTGTGTCAATTTTGTTGCAAATGATAGGATTTCATTTTTTTTTGCTTCTGTGTATTATTTCATGGTGTATATATACTATAATTTTTTATGCAGTCTTCAGTTGATGGACATCTGGGTTGATTCCATATCTTGACTATTGTGAATTGAGCTGCAATAAATATGAGTGTAGAATTTTACCTTCCTTTATTCATTTAGCATTGATTGGATTTCAAAGAGTGAATGTCCTCCAGAAGGCCACACTCTTAGTAAATTGTTTGATTTTATTGATAATAATATGTTTTTCCTTCCTCCATCCTGGGCAATAATCATAGAATTAGCATTTACCAACCAGCTAATGAAGTCCAGCTTTAGGGGCCTTCATTCCCATAAAATTTCATTGTTGTAACTATGGACATTTATGGGGTCTTATTAAATAAAAGTGAAATTGAGGATACATTTTGATTGACTTGTGACACATACAGTGTTGACTTTTTTGAGATATACAGGGTCCTTCAAAAATTCATGGGAAGTACAAATTCTAAAAATAAACTATGCTTGGATTTCAAAATGTTTTGCACTAAAATAAACATACATTTTAATTCTATTCTCCATGAACTTGCTGATATATTTTCATATTTATGTAGTTCACAGGCTCTTTTGTTCGTAATTAAGCTAATGTTAGCTGTAGTACTATAGGAATAACTTGTAGTAAATACTTCTTCCCTCCAGTATGCCAGTATCTTGCAACACATGTATTTGCAAAATAAAAGAAAAACAAGTTTCAAAATGAGTGGTAGCGGAAGTTTATAGCATTTTTTTTCCAAATTGTATAGCAGATTATTAGTTGTCCTAAACTTACTGTCAGAAAAATTTACGTTAAAAGCACCCAAATAGTTTGAAGCTGCAAGAAATATTTCTAGATGCTCAATAATGAAAATGAAATATTCCTCACATGTGTTGGAAGAAAAACCAAATTAACCTATTAACGTATCATTGTGCCATGAAAAGGTGATCAAATACTACTTAGTAAAAAATACATTGAAAAGAACTATGCTATAGAGGTATATTAGGTCACTAATAAAATAGGTGTTATTTTTGTTATTATTTATTGGAAAACTTTATATTTTTCCTGGTTCAATGTAATATTCACTTTGTATCTAATATCATATTGTTTTTCTTAAAGAGGGCACCCCAGCCATCTACTCCTATCAGTAATTCTTACAGCATCAGAACATTTAGTTTATAGTAAGTGTAATAACCATGCTTGTAGTTCATTCCCCACCTTTTTTAACTGGAACTCATTTTTAGCCATTTCATTCTTTACTGCATTGTGTTCTATTTGAAGACTAGATTTTCAAACTCTCCAAAAGTCAAACTAGTTACTGTGAATGAGTATGTTAAGAAATTTCAAATTTATTCCTCTCTTTAAGTAAAGAACAATGATTCCTTTTCTTTAAAACTGGCTCAGGATTCTGGGAGTATGACTTCTATCAGGATTGAAGCATATCTGACAATCTGAGTTTCTGATTAAAGACAAATGTAACCCTGAGTCATTCATTATAGATTGGTAAGCAGCTATAGTATGGCCTGGAATCTTGAAGTATGGTTCATAGTCTATATTATGAGAGATTGGGGTTGCCAGAGACTTTTTAATTATATGAAATAATAATATTCAGAGAACAAGAATAATATTGATTGATTGAATTACTTTATAGGAAAAAATGGATTGAGAAATGTTTAATTAAAAAGCCCTCTAAAATATTACCGACAAGTCAAACCTTCTATGAGCTCTAATTTTTCTTTGTGCAATAGCTGAGAACCATGTTCAACTTGGAATCCTAGAAGGGTGCTGTTAAGTGCCATGTTTCATCAACATAAATAATTAACTGGAAAAAACATGTAATATTCATTGCTGGAAATTATTAACACAGATTGCAAAGGGAAAAAATCCAAAAATTAAATAAAACTAATTAATTTAGCTAACATTTGGTTTTTGGCATTTCTTCTATTTATATAACTAACTTTTTGAAATGCCTTTTCCTTTTAGGACAGATACAAAAGGTGGAGATGCTTGGCTGCAGCAAAATTGAATCATATTTGATGCATGGTTTGAAACTGTAAGAGATTTCAAGGATTCCAGTATATTCTTGCAGGAGGTATACTTCAAGGGCAGGGAAAATGGGAGTCTGTGTCTTGTTTTTACATTTTAAGTCCATTCCAATATAAGACAACTATTATTTTGAGAGTAGGAGCAATTGTTCAATTACATGTTACAACCTGCAAATGATTAACGTTATTGGAGGTTTTTCACTTTTGTGAGAAGGTATTAGGGAGATAGCTTCTAGAAAACCTATTGAATAAATAAATATTTCCTGGCAGATGTTGCTTTTCTGCCCCCAGCCAATACAAATTGCAAAGCACAGAGCTTAGAGGTTGCCTGTAATGATATTAATTAATGTCATGAAGCTTCATCTATGAGTGTCAATGGTGTGATAAACTACTATTTATGTGATGCAAAGTGGTGAAAAATGGGTCAAAAGAACAATACTTCTGTAACACCATTTCTCTTGTCAGACACTCAGCTGCTATTCCCAGATGTTCTTATTTGTATGAGGGGAAAAAGAAAGATTTTTTACCCCCTGCCTATGAAAATCTGGTTGGTAGAAGACCCTGAGAGCAGTAGTCCTTCAGAAAGCAGAAGATGGATTTCTTTGAAGTCCAGCAGCTTCATTAGGATGAAAGCTAGTTTTATGTGAGACTGAACTCAACCTACCAGGGGTAGAATCTTAGTGCTAATCAAACTGTTCTTCTTGGCTTGATTACAGAGCGAGCTGAAAAATATTTCATTGTTCAATGTACGGCTCCAAGAACAATGATGTACAAATTAGTGGCATCCAATCACTAAGAAAAGCTTATCATCATACCAGGCTCTCTGACATTACTTTTCCTGACCATTTTCCTTTTAGGTTAGAAAGTAGAATAAGATTGAGTCTCAGAAAGAGAAGTTTGGTGGATGTGACACCCATTTCTCAAAAGGAAAATAAAAAGGGGGTTATTTTTCAATAGGAAAAAATATTGTATTTAAAACATATTTGTGGGGCCGGTGCCATGGTTCAATTGGTTAATCCTCCGCCTTGTGGCGCTGGCATCCCATATAGGCTCCGAGTTCTAGTCCCGGTTGCTCCTCTTCCAGTTCAGCTCTCTGCTGTGGCCCGGAAGGGCAGTGGAGGATGGCCCAGGTCCTTGGGCCCTGCACCTGCATGGGAGACCAGGAAGAAGCTCCTGGCTCCTGGCTTCGGATTGGCGCAGCACCAGCCGTGGCAGCCATTTGGGGAGTGAACCAACGGAAGGAAGACCTTACTCTCTGTCTCTCCCTCTCACTGTCTGTAATTCTACCTCTCAAAAAATAAATAAAATCTTAAAAAAAACCATATTTGCTAACATTTTCTCCCATTCTGTTGGTTGCCTCATCACTTTGCTGAGTGTTTCTTTTGCAGTACAGAAGCTTCTCAGTTTGATGTAATCCCATTGCCAATTTTGGCTTTGATTGCCTGTGCTTCAGGGATCTTTCCCAAGAAGTCTCTGCCTGTGCCAATGTCTTGCAGAGTTTTCCCGATGTTCTGTAATAATTTGATGGTACTGGATCATAGATTTAGGTATTTGATCCATTTAGAGTGAGTACCTGAAATGTAATGTTTTGCAGTGAAATAGACATTTTGAGATTTGATGATGTTTAGGGGCTTGTCTCTTCCACTGAGGAACAGTGTTTTTATTTTTTTCTTCATACTATTTGTTGAACTCTTTTACTTAGTGTAGGGTTAACTGTGTGATCATTAAGTAAACTGAAAGTAGATCTTTATAAAAATTAATGTGAAAATGTGAGAGGGAGGAGGAGTAAGGGTTGGAGCATGGGTGGGAGGGGAGGTAGGGGAGGAAGTGTCACTGTGTTCCTAAATCTGTATATATGAAATACATGAAACTTGCATAACTTAAATACAATTAAAAATATGTTTGCTATATGAGTATATACAAGTTATACTTTAAAACATTTAAAAATAACTAGTTTAACTCTCACAAAATACCTTGAAATTTTATTGAGTTAGTTATCTCTTTACCATAAGGCACAATAGCATCTTTAACCTTCAATTAAATATGATACTCTACCCCCAAATGGAATTTAGAATAGTGTACATGCAATGGACAATCTAGGGAACAATTTGAGAATTATTGGAAATGGCATTAACTTTTATTCACATGCAATGCTGAATGTGTTGAACCTGCATGCTAGTAGATTAATATCTTATGTATTAGAATCAGTTGATCCAGTAGAGTATTTTTGCCAGGTTTTGCCACTATATTTCCAAAGTGTCTCACACTTTCAAAATACCTCTAAAATTTCAAGCCAGGATTTTCATTTGAGAGTCAAATTTTTAAAAAAATCTGCATAATAACAAAGGTTAAATAACTGTAAAAATAATCTATATTAATTGGTAATCTGTGAAGATCCAGTTTCTCCACATGCTTGTCAAAATTTGGTATTAGCACTCTTTTATATTTAAGTCTTCTAATAGCTGTACAGTGATACCTCTTCATGTTTTTGCTATTTCTGTAATGGCTAATGCTTCACTGCCATCTATATATCCTCTTCAGTGAAAGGTCTCATGGCTTTGCCCACTTCTAATGGGTTATTTATTATTTTTTGTTTTCTCATTATTATTTTTGCAAATGCTTTATATATTCTAGATACTGATTATTTATCAAATACATGGTTTTCTGTATTTTCTCCATGTCTGTAGCTTGTCTTTCTAATCTCTTCAGAATATTTTTACAGTTTAAAATTTTAATTAAGCTTAATTTATGATATTTTCTTCTTATGCTTCATGCTTTTGGTGTCAAGTCCAAGAACATTTTGCCTATTCTGAGCCAAAACATTTTATTCTGTATTTTTTGAGAGTTAGTTTACTCTTACACCTTAAATTTAAACTGATGATCCCATGCTGAGTAAAGTTGTGCCTGGGATGTCTAGTTGCTCCCGCAACACTTGTTGAGGAGGTAGGTCATTCTTCCTCTATTGAATTCCTTTTGTATCATTGTCAAAGTCACTTAAGCATATTCCTCTATACCTTTTGTGGGGCTCTTTATTCTGTCCTAATGATGTATGTGTCTATTCTTGTTTACTATATCTGCATAATAAGCCAGGAAATCAATTAGATTGATTCATTCTACTATATTCTTTTTTTAAATAGGCATATCTTTTTAGGTGTTATTCCTTTCCATACAAATATTAGAATCAGCTTGTCTATTTCTAAAAGACATTAATATATTAATAAGAATTATAATAATCTTATAGATCTGTTTGGATAGCATTGGCATTTTTACAATATTGAAGCTTCCAATCCATGAACATGGTATGCCATTCCATTTATCTAGGTCTTCCTGATTTTCTTTTATTAGCATCATGTAGTTTTCATGATAAAGATCCTACATATATTTTGTTAGATTTTTGCTAGTATTTCATTTTATTTGGGGCAATTATAATTTGTACAGTGTTTTCAATTTCTCTTTCTACATTTTCAATATAGAGAAATGTGATTTTTTATATCTGTGTGTGCATGTATGTGTGTGTCAGTCTTGTTTCCTATAGCATTTCTGAACTCACATAAGTTTTAAAGGTTTTTGTAGATTAGTTAGAATTTTCTACATAGAAAAATGAGGGCACTTTTATTTTTCTGTTCCAATGTGTATGTTTTCATTTTCTTTTATTGACTTATTGTGTTGAATAGAACTTCTAGTGTTATGTTAGGTAAGAGTGGTGAGAATGGACATTATTACCTTGTTCCCAATCTTAGGAGAGAAGGAATCAATCTTTCTTACTTTCCATTAGGTATGGTGTTACCTGTTTACTTTTTAAAAAATATTTATTTATTTATTTCAAAGTCAGATGTACAGAGAGGCAGAGAGAGAAAGAGAGAGAGAGAGAGAGGTCTTCTATCTGCTGGTTCACTCCCCAAATGGCCACAACTGCAGGAGCTAGGCCAATTCAAAGCCACGAGCCAGGAGCTGCTTCTGGGTCTTCCATGTGGGTGCAGGGGTCCAAGCACTTGGGCCATCTTCTACTCTTTCCCAGGCCATAATAGAGAGCTGGATCAGAAGTGGAGCAGCTGGAACTCAAACTGGTGCCTATATGGGATGCCAGCACTGCAGGCAGCAGTTTTATCTGTTAGGCTACAATGACAGCCTGTCTGTTAACTTTTTGTAGATACTCTTTTTCAAATTGAGAAACTTCCAATACACTTATATTTGACTTAGAGATTTTTGTAGTGAATGAGTGTTGAATTTTGACGAATATTTTCTGCATTAATGGATATGATCATATGATTTTTATTTTTTAATCTTTTGATGATACATTTTCAAATGTTTTGAATCTTATTCTACTTTTAAGAAGAGGACATGATGATATTTTCATTATTAGGTAAGTGTGTGTATCATCTCTTTTACCAGTACTCAGGTAGAAAAAGATTATTACTGTACAAAATATGAAATCAGAATAGTTACTTCCTTATGACACAGTCTTATAGAACAAATGTAGTAGACATCTGAGAGTGTTCAAAAAATTAAGACATTTAGCTATAAAAGTTCTTTCTGCCATATGATAATCATTCTAACAAAAAATTTTGAGAGCATATTTCCACCCTTATAAACTCGTTTATTAACACGAAATTTTTTTGGGTTAGCATAAGAATCATTACCTATTTTATGGCATATATGCAGCAAATAGAGTTTTTCTATACTTTAAAATTTTCTTAAGTTAATATTTCTCCATTTAATATCTTTTATAATTTATAGTTGCTCTCTTATTAGAGACTCTAATGTATTTGAATAATGTTAAATATGGAAAAGTTGAATCTCTATCCTGTGAAGAATATGCATAAGTATATGCATATAGACAAAGAATTCTGTATAAATACCTTACATACACAAGTTAATGACTCAGATGCTCTGAATATAAACAAATCAAGGAGCTAAGTAAATTAAATACTTTGGAAAATTGCACAATCTTGTTTGGGCCAATAAATTCAATTTATGTGCTGAATTAGTGACTCATTGCTTGTGTTCTCAAAATTCAAACCTGACAGGAAGCAAAAAATTCAAGCGAGTCCACTTTCCCTGCACTCATGGGTTGCAATGAAAGAGGTAGGTAATCATAATTATTTAATATATTTTTTCAACCTTCTTTAAATTTCATGGATTCCCCCGCCCCCCATGATCAATACAATAGTCTGAGTAGCTTAAACACAGGCATATATTCTCTCACAGTTCTAGCGGCTAGAAGTATGAAACCAAATTGTCAGCAGAGCCATGTTCTCTTTAAAGAATCTAAGGAAGAATGCTTTAATTGTTTTTGGTGATTTCCAGCAACCCTTGTCATTCTGTGGCCTATAAATGCAACACTTTAACCTCAGCGTCTGTTATCAAATGGACTTATTCCCTGGCCATCATACAACATGCTTTGTCTCTCTTAAATCTTTATTTTTTAAAACTTTATTTAAATTATGCAAGTTCATGTATTTTATATATACACATTTAGGAACATAGTGATACTTCTGATCCAACTCTTCCTTCCACCCACACACAACCATTCTTACTTCTCCCTCTTTTATTCCCACTCTTACTCTTTTATGAGTTCTAATAGTATGTCAGTGGAGTCTTTTAGATCCCCTATATATATGATCATGTCATCTGCAAATACAAATAGTTTGACTTCCTCCTTTCCAACTTGTATCCTTTTGATTTCTTTTTCTTGCCTAATGGCTTTGGCTAAAACTTCCAGGACTATATTAAATAGCAATGGTGAGAGTGAACATCTTTGTTAGGTTCTGAATCTTAGGGAAAATGCTTCCAGCATTTCCACATTCAATAGGATGCTGCCCGTGGGTTTGTCATAAACTGCTTTGATTGAGGAATGTTCCTTCTCTACCCAACCTTCTCTACCCAATGTTCCTTCTCTACCCAACCTTCTCTACCTTAGGGTTTTCATCATGAAATGATGTATTTTATCAAATGCTTTCTCTATGTGTATTGAGAAAAATCATATGGTTTTTGTTCTTCAGTTTGTTAATGTGATATATCACATTTATTGATTTGCAAATGTTGAACCATCCCTGCATACCAGGGATAAATCC